GTGGGGACCCGGACGGGGCGAGGAGACGGTTTGCAATGCGCGGACCCATGCCCACCGCCCGCGCCGGCCGGGCCTGGGGACTCGGGCGCCGGGGCCGAGCGACACCTGCCAGCGCTGGCGACGCGCGGGGAGCCGGGGTCCCTGCGCCGGGCGCGCGTCTTTGTGCTGGTCCGGGGGCGGGCGCCCCCCAGGCCCAGGGCGGCGGATGCAGCCGCAGGGGGGTGGGTCGGGGGAATCACCCGGGCGCGCCGGGACCCGGGAGCGCCGGGACCCGGGAGAGGAGGCGCGGAGCCGGTGCCGGGCCGGCAGCCGCCCATCGGAGCTCCGGGCGCTGGCGAGCCGAGCCGTCCTCCGGGGCCCCTCCCGGGCCGCCGGGCCGCGATGACAGCTATCCCGGAGGTCGGGCGGGGAGCAGGGCGCGGGGCCGTTGTGCGGCGGAGACGGGGGCGTGCCCGCCTGTCCTCCTCCGGGACCGACCGCGGGGAGGAGCCGGCGCCCGCACCCAGGGCCTTCGGGTTGTTTGTCTGTGAGCGGCTGGTCCCCAGAGCCCGGAGCCTCTGGGAGTGATTTACAGGACTCAGAGCCCCGGAAAGTCACCCGGCCTCGCGGCACCCACCGTCTGGCTTATTTTTCCTCCTGCCCCCACCCTCCTGCCGTCCCAGCCTCCGCAGCCGCCCTGCAGATCCCGGTGACCTGGCGACCTGAGACTGCGACCCCAGTGCTGGAGGCCCCTCGCCCCACCGTCAGGTTTGAATTTCTCTAGCCCGTCTTTCCTTTCCTCTCCCTGAGCTGCCCGCCTGGAGAGTGCCCACCTGCCCTTGAATTTCAGTCGTCTGAGGATGTCTGAGTTGGCAACTAGATTAAATTTCCCCATTGCTCCTTCTTTAAGGCCTTTCAAAATCAACCCTGAGAACCCAGGACTGGAGCCCCCCGAGTCTCACCACATGGTTTTGGAGGCGCCTTTGCAGGCTCTGTGCTGTGCACACCACCTGGGGCGCTGCTTGTTGATGGGAGAAAGCGGCAGAGATGCAGGGCTAGCATTTGTATTGAAGCCCAGGAAAGAGATCCTGGCTATTGTCATTAATCTTTAATATTGCTGACAGCCTTTAAAGCACAGACCGTAAAAAGTGTTTTTTCTGGACAAGTTTCCCTCACTCATTCTTTCTCTCCCTCATAAAAGAAAAATGTATGAAAACTTGTTTGCCTTAAAATAAGACCCAGCTTAAAAGCTTTGCCTTTAGGTAGATTATTTAAGGTATGCATGGGATTCCTTTGATTACTGACAACAGAGTTTCAGTTGTGGGAAGACCCTTTCTGTGTTATTCTCTTCATTGCTTGCCTTTGAGTCTCTTTTTCGCCTTCAGTGAGTACACAGGACTCTTCCCCAAGTGGTGAGGCCAAAGGTGGAGCTCCAGAATTCATATTGCCTTCAGGTCATTCCATTTCATCGTTTTACAGTTCGTAGACTAAGTTGGGCTCTTACACATGATGGGTATAAAAACATGCTTTTTGGATTGTAACAGAGATTCTGTGGTGGGGTGCTTCTGAAGTTGTTCTCTTTGAAACTGGATATTCTTACACTTTTCCCTACTGTGGTGGTGAGTTCCAGGTGTCTATTAAGAGCCATTTTTTAAAAAGTGCATGTTCTTTTTATGTGCTTGGATTGTGTGTCAAAAACAAGGCTTAAACCAAGTGATTAGCTCCAGTTCTGCTGTTCTCTCTTTGGAGGGGTCCTGCCCAGAGGAAGCGAGGTGGGGGAGGGGACTGAGGGAAACTGAACCAACCTGAATTTGCCCCAGGTGTCCAGCGCCCCAGGCCAGCCTCTGGGCTTCTTTCTCGGAGTGGCCGTGGGGCTGGCAGGAGAGCACAGAGTTGTCAGCAGTGTCCTCGGAGATCTTGACCCGCCCTCGCTGGAATGATCAGTGGTCACCGGTCAGACTTTGGAGGAAAGGGCCTAATTAAATCGAGCTCTTAACGTCTAACATGTAAAATCACTATGTTTACACATCTTAATTGCACCAACGGTGAGAATTTATAGCACTGGAGTTCACCCATTTTATAGGAGGAGGAAGAACCATGGTTTTCAAAGGAAATCGAGATTTTTTTTTTTCCTGCTGATTTTTCCAACGTCTTCTGGATTTTGTTTTAAAGTTCCAAGTTTTGCCAGCCTTGAATTGAGGTTTATTGATTAGTTGATGTGTTCGTGTGTGCTTAGTCACTCAGTCATATGTGACTCTTTGCTACCCTTTGGACTGTAGCCCGGCTCCTCTGTCCATGGGATTCTCCAGGCAAGAATACTGGAGTGGGTTGCCATTTCCTCCTTCAGGGGATCTTCCCAACCCAAGGATTGAACCCGCATCTCCATAGTAGGTGCAGTAGGATACTTCCAGATAAGCTGTACCTAGAGAAGCAGTGTCTGGACAGAAGAGGACATTTGCTTCTGACCATCCTTTTCTGGGCACTGTAACATTCAGACCAAATCCTTTACTTTAAAGTCATCACCTAAAAATTGTTTCTCAGTGTATGGGTGCAGTCACTTCAGTCGTGTCCAACTCTTTGCGACGCTATGGACCATAACCCGCCCAGCTTCTCTGTCCATGGGATTCTCCAGGCAAGAATACTGGAGTGGGTTGCCCTGCCCTCCTCCAGGGGTTCTTCCCAACCCAGGGATGGAGCCCTGGTCTCTTATGTGTCCTGCATTGGCAGGCGGGTTCTTCACCTCTAGCACCAGCTGAGAAGCCCCTTTAGGTTGAAGTAGCAGAATTTTAGGAAAATCTTTTTAAAATCTAGAGATATGAGCAACAACAGTATTGAAACACTTGCAGAGCTTGGTTCCACGCGTCTCTTGGGCGCTGGTTCTGTGCTGGACCAGGGAATGGGGGCTGGGCGGCTGCCTACAGTCCCTTGATGCCTCTCATGATGTCTGCTGAGAACAGAACCAGCTCCTCTTGACTGGGCATCTCCTCCACACCAGGCTCTGTGCCCAGGGCTGTCCACAGATTGCACAACTCATTTTTAATAGCAACCCAAAAATGTCGGTGCCACCATCCCTGTTTCTTAGCTGGGGCAAGTGAGGGAGCAGGAAGTCTGTGACATGCCTGGGATTACCCAGCCCAGGGCCAGCCGTGAGGGCAGGTAGCACTCTAGGTGGGATGATGAGCTTGTAGGAGCAAAGGTGTAGTTCTCCTGGCTGAAGCAGGAGGGGCCTCATTGCCTCTCTGAGAGGAGATGGGGGTCGGGGAACAGGTATGACAACCTGTTGTTCAGCATCACAGCAGTCATGTCTGACTCTTTGCAACCCCATGGACTGCAGCACACCAGACTTCCTTGTCCTTCACTATCTCCCTGAGTTTGCTCAAACTCTTGTCCTTTGAGTTGGTGATGCCATGCAACCATCTCATCCTCTGTCAGCCCCTTTTCCTGCCCTCTATCTTTCCCAGCATCAGGGTCTTTTCCAATGAGTTGTCTCTTCCCATCAGGTGGCCAAAGAATTGGAGCTTCAGCTTCAGTATCAGTCCTTCCAATGAATATTCAGTACTGATTTTCTCCAGGATTAACTGGTTTGATCTCCTTGCAGTCCAAGGGTCTCTCAAGAGTCTTCTTCAGCACCACGGTTCAAAAGCATCAATTCCTCAGCACTCAACCTTCTTTATGGTCCAACTCTCACATTCATACATGACTCCTGAAAAAACCATAGCTTTGACTACGCGTACCTGTATTGGCAAAGTGATGTCTCTGCTTTTTAATACACTGTCTAGGTTTGTCATAGCCTTTCTTCTAAGGGGCAAGCATCTTTTAATTTCATAGCTATGTGATGGCTTGCCAAGGTGCATTTTGAAAGCTCACTCTAGAGGGAAGGCAGGAGTGAACATGGGGATCCTGAGGCCCTTAGGAATATTTTAGATCCTCTAAATTAGAACTATTGGCTGTTACTTGTTATCTCAAGTAACAAACAACTGTCTCAAGAAAGTTGTTTAAAGACATTGAATACATCTCTAAGCTTTAAATCAAAATCAGTGTTCCATCAAAAGTAGCCTTCTTTAAAAACACCATATAACTTGTGACTTTTCCATAAGCACTAAGGTGGAACCATATGTGCTCCCGAGTACGTGGTGTGCTCTGTGATGTAATGTATGGGTCCCCAAGATCCTTCCTCACCCAGCGAACATAGGAAAAAAACTGGAAGACAGCACACGTGGTGAAGTTGGCTTTGGGATGGGCAGTCAGGCCTCCCTGCCCCTTTCTTCCTGTCTTGCTCAGAAAGGGGCCATTTTCCAAGGCCCCTGCAGTGACCACAGGAGTGAGAAATGAAGAGGCTGGTTCGAGGTGTTCATCCCCATGGCAATACATGTATTTAGAGTCTATTGCAAAGCCACAGTCAAATGACGGGCTTGATGACCCGCCACCTGGCCCAGGTCTACGCTCCTCTCTGTTACTGCAGCTCAGACATGGCCTGGCCCCCAGCGGGGGAGTCAGGGCCGGCTGGTTGGTGGCCCTCTGGTGGCTGAGCACCTGGTGTGGCCTCTGGGCTTCTGCTGGGCTCCTGTGAGTGTGAGCGTCAGCTCTGTCAAGTGTGGTGGTGAAGAGGGAGTGGTTGATCTCCGGACGCCTCCCGGATGGAGATAAATTCAGCCGTTCTCTCTTCATGCGCCCTCAGAACATCATGTGAAGTTCCTTTCAGTGATGGTTGAATAAGCTGCCGCCCCCACCCCCGGGGCAGACGCTCCACCCCCACCAGGTGGCTCTTGTGGTGGGAGCGCCCTGTCTCATCCGGCTCTGCTCTGGGCTGGGTGACCACACTGCGTGCAGTTCCTTCCGCCAGGGCCTCGCACGATGCCTGACCTTTCCACCCCTCCTTCTCCTTGTAGACAGCCGAGCTTCTGCTGGAGGAAGAGAGGAGGCGAGTCCCCACGAGCATCCTTACTCGCTTCCTGGGATTAAGAACCTATTTATGAAGCATCTTATTTTATGACCGAAGCTCCACATCCAGGGAGACGTCAATGGCCCAGCTTCCCCCTGGCATTCGCTTCATCATCTCGTTCTCCAGGGATCAGTGGTAAGTTGGGGGCACTGTGCCACCCTGCAGCCAGCAGGTCCCCCACATCCCATTTCCTGATAAGATACATGTGGATGCCCGCCCTCCCCATAACTGTTGAATGGTTTATCCGTGGTGGAACTGGTGACCAGGAATGCTGCTGAGTTGTCCACCTTTGGTTCTGCAGTGACAGACAGACTGAAAACCTCTGAGGTTCTCAGTGGTTTCTAGTCCACTGAATATCATCCTGGTAGGATGAGTAAATGGCTGTGGGTGAAATAAGTATATTAACTCTGAACTTAATGAGTGGTCTTGCTGAGCCGGGACTTTGGAAGAGAAAATGAAATCTGAACAAGTTAAACACAGACCAAAACACCCCTTTCTGTTCCGAGAGCATCTGGTGTGCTCTCTGAGAGTCCTTCTCACAGGAGACTTGTGAATCACACACACACTCCTTGGAGGAGGCTGAAGGTGAGGGTAGTCTAGAGCTGGGCTGTCTGGTCTCCAAGCCACACTCTCTGCTGCTAATCTCTGTCGGGAAGGGAAGTGTTTTCCCTCTACCCTGTTAGGTTGAATGATTGGGGGCATGTGAATTAAACTGACAAAAGACAGATGCATAAGAGAGAAGACAGATATAGCCACATGTGTGTGGGAGTTCTCAGAGAAAGGTGACTGCTGGGGGCCTTAGAATTTGGGGTGTATATACCACCTTAGTAGGGGAAGAGAAGGAGGAGGGCACGTTTGGGAAAGCAAATGCCTTTTTGGAAAGGTAAACGGGCCCTTGGGAGACTAGCCGGCGACCAGGACACAGTTGTGACAGTGTCTGTTTGGGTGTGAGGTGGGTGCTTCCCGCCTCTGGTACTAAGACTCAGTCTCTCCTAGTTGCTCCCGGGGAGGAGTGGTGACAGTTGAGTTGTTTTGGAGGCTCTGTTTTTAGGCAGATGAGAGATTTCAGAAACTCAAATGCCTTCTGTTCACAGTAATGTTTATGCCGCAGCATGTGTTCTGGGTCCCTTAGGCTCCATCTCCCGGCCATGTGCCGCCTACACATCCTTTGCAGCTTCTCTGGCCCAGGCTGGTGGCTGCTGTGCCCACGGGGTCTCAGATGTGACTTCAGACATCTGGCTCTTCCTAGAACAGTTTGCTTGTCGATTCATTTCTCATCTAGTGCCAGTCTAGACAGAAGTGGTTCAACACTTCCTTTTTTTAGTGGGTATTTATTTTTGTTTTCTTTTGTAACTTTATTTGGATACATTTTTTCAAACTCCCAGGAGAAAATGATAAGAATGTTACATAGAACTCCTGTAATCACAAATCGCCCCCCCCCCCCCGCCCCTTCCTTTTTTTTAGGTTAAAACCTCAGAGATAGAGCATTTCTTCTCACACTGTAATGTGCTTGGGAGTCATTCAAAACTTGTTAAAATGCAGATCCTGACTCAGTAGACCTGGGGTGGCACCTGAGAACCTACAGTTCCCGGGTGATGTGATACTGTGGGTCCACAGACCATTCTTTGAATAACATAGAGATGGCACATTTGTCTTCATTTCTGTTCCATCTCCACCTCAGACTTGCTCTTTGCCCTTGAAAGGTTATTTAGCCTTTCTAGACCTCAGCTTCCTTGGCTGTAAAAAAAGAGAATCAGTGTCAACATTCCTGCGAAGGACATTTTTTATATTTTTTAGCAGCACTCCGATCTCCGGGGAGCTGACTTCTCCCCCTTGTGTGCAGCTGTGACCAGCAAGGGAGTCTCAGGACCTTCTGCCCCATTACGGAAGCCAGTAGAGGCCCCCGAGGCTCCATCCCGCTGACCTTCTGTCATAGCCCGGGTCCAGTAGGAGGCAAGAGAGGACCCAAGGCGGGCGGACCAGCCTCTCTGTCCTGGAACGTTGAGTCTAGAGTAGAGTGAGCCTAGGGCAGAGGGAATGGTGAGGTGCGTCTGGCCTGGCTGTGCTCTGTGCTAAGTCATGTCCGATTCTTTTGTGACCCCATGGACTGCAGCCCATCAGGCTCCTCTGTCCATGGGATTCTCCAGGCAAGAACAGTGGAGCAGGTTGCCATTTCCTTCTCCAGGGGATCTTCCCGACCCGGGGATCTTCCCGACCCGGGGATCTTCCCGACCCTGGGATCGAACCCTGGTCTCCCGCATTGGAGGCAGACGCTTTAACCTCTGAGCCACCAGGGAAGCCCTGGTCAGATTCTTAACATCCATCCTCATTTGCTTCTCCCTTCACCTTCTCTCATCTATGTGTGTGTGCAGATGTATGTACATACACACACACACACACACTCACACACTTTTTCATGAACCATTTGAGAGCAAGTTGCAAACATTTTACCCTTTTATTTCTAAATACATTAGTATATATTTCCTGTAAATAAGATATTCTTGTGTGACCGCTTCCCTGGTAGCTCATGGTAAAGGATCTGCCCTCAATGAGGGAGACCTGGGTTCTATCCCTGGGTTATAAAGCTCCCCTGGAGGAGGGCATGGCAACCCACTCCAGTATTCTTGCCTTGAGAATCCCCATGGACAGAGGAGCCTGGTGGTATCTATAGTGCATGCGGTCGCAAAGAGTCAGACACAACTTAGCAACTAAGCATAGCACATATAACTGCACACAAAGATCAAAATCATGAAGCTTAACACGGATGTAATGCTATTATCTAATCCACAGTTCATGTTCATATGTCCAATAATGTATTTTATAGATTTTTTTCTATAGGTTTTTCTATAGATTTTAAAAATCTTTCTATAGACTTTTCTTTTTCTTTTATAGATTTTTCCCTGGGCCAGGATCTAGTGTGTGGTCACACTCTGCATTTAGTTGTCCTCTGTGTTTAGTTTCCTTTAATTTGGAACCATATCTTGACCTTTTTTTGTCTCCTGTAAGCTTGTCATTTTTGGAGGGTACAAGCTATTTATTTTATAGACTTTCTTCTTTTGGATGTGTCTGTTGTTTCCTCATGGTTAGATTCAGATTATGCATTTTTGTCAGATATAGCACAGAAAGGAGACAGCTTCTCACTAACGATAATGGAGTTACAGATATTGGTAGGGCTGAGGGGACTGGATGAATCGTGTGGTGCTAGGTTGAAATTAAAGATATCAAGGAAAACTGGAGAGAAGGTAAGCAGAGAAATGTGTGTGTGTAATGTGTGTGTATGTGTTAGGTGTCTGTGTGTATGCTGTGTGTGTGTGCATGTGTGTAAAATGCCTTCTTTCTGCTGGAGACAGGCCCTGGAAACAGCAGCATCCCAGCAGCAGTGAGCACACCTGGGGCTAGATCTTGGTTTCTGTGTACTGTTTCCTATTGAAGGAGCCAGACAGGCATCCCTGGAGACTGGGATGGTGTCACCACTGGGCCAGGGAAAGTGAGATGAGCCGGGAATATCTGATGTCAACAAATAAGACAGTGCTTAAAAATGAAGCGACTCTCACTGGCCAAATATAAGATGAGATTATTTTCGGCTGTGCTGGTTCTTCTTTGCAACCCACAGGCTCTTCGTTCCTGCATGCTGCCTTTCTCTAGTTGCAGCGGGTGGGGGCTACTTTCTAGTTGTGGTTCACAGGCTTCTCACTGCTGCAGCTTCTCTTGTTTTGGGGCTCCAGAGCACACAGGCTTCAGTAGTTAAAGTGAGTGGGTTTAGTGCACTGTGACATGTGGGATCTTAGTTCCCAGATCAGGGATTGAACCCATATTCCCTGCACTGACAGGTAGATTCTTAACCACTGGACCACCAGGAAAGTCCCTGGGATAATCTTTTAAATAAACAATAATAGTAATGGATTATAGCCCTTTGACTAAAACAAGAATCTAGCGAGTCCATGCTCCTATAACCAAATAAGCATCAATGGGAGGAGGGAAAGCTCTTTCCCACAGTGGGATGCCAGCCACTGAGCAGAGTAGCAGGCGTGTCCAAGCTGGATTGTCACCTTCTGAACCATCAGGAGTGCTTGGTTTAGGTAAGGAGCATCAATAGACACACAAAATTGGGAGAAAGTTGGGTGAACAACTGGGTTAGCTACCTAACCTCAGAGTGTTTTCCCACAAATTGGTTATTAATTACTAAAGAGAAAATAGTATCTTCTCTGAGGGGCAATGATGCAGAGAGTGCCCAAACCAGGTGGTCAGTACTTAACGTCACTGACATCACAGCCCCCTTTAGGGTGCTCTGGAGGGACTCCCATCACGGTATGCATGGTTTCCTTGTTCCTAAAGTGAGATGCACTGAAGAATTGATGCTTTTGAGCTGTGGTGTTGGAGAAGACACTTGAGAGTCCCTTGGACTGCAAGGAGATCCAGCCAGTCAATCCTAAAGGAAATCAGTCCTGAATATTCATTGGAAGGACTGATGTTGAAGCTGAAACTCCGTTACTTTGGCCACCTGATGTGAAGAACTGACTCATTGGAAAAGACCCTGATGCTGGGAAAGATTGAAGGCAGGAGGAGAAGGGGACAACAGAGAATGAGACGGTTGGATGGCGTTACCGACTCAATGGACATGGGTTTGGGTAGACTCCAGGAGTTGGTGATGGACAGGGAGGCCTGGCATGCTGCGGTTCATGGGTTCACAAAGAGTCAGACACGACTGAGCGACTGAACTGAACTGAACTGAAAGTAAAATGTCTTCTTACTCATTTCTGTGCCAGGTCATACTGTTCAGTTATTCTCATCTAGAATATTTCTTTTTTTTAAACTTCTTATTTGCCTATTACCTAGATAAATAACACTCAAGGAAGGAAGCTGTATTCTCCCTTGGGTCTCTGAACTGGGAGCAGGCTGCTGTTTATCTGGAAATGCAGGCAGCGTCTAGGACATTTCTGAGGATGCTTCGAAGGAGCATTGCTGGAAGAGGCTTTATCGCTAGAAACTTGTGGTTAACCCAAACACTAGTCTTGTAGTATTGCTAGATACAAAGAATGCTGCCTATTGTCAGACATAACTACCGAATAGTAAGTGGAACACTGATGAAGTTAAGGATCAAATTATTCATTTTTAATTGTACTTGTCTAATGTTC